TTTTGTATATTAAATATGAGTATAGTTTAATTTATTTCTAATTTTTTAGACACGAAATAAATACTAATAGACATTCTAATACTGTCTTCCTGCCTCCCAAAGGATCATCTTGTGCGTCCCCTGGAATGCATGCGCCCCACTTTGGATATTGCTGCCCTAGATGCATAAGCTTCATTTCCCAGAATTCTCAACCGGAACCCAGAATGCTCAACTAAGCAAGGAATTCTGGGAGATGAAGTCCATATGCCTATAGGGTACTCAAGTTGGAGAAATCAGTTTGCTGCAGGTATGAAGCTAATGTGATATATCTATTCCAGTGGCAGGTTGGGGCCGGAGAGATTGGTTTAAGTTTCCATGCCATTCACGCAATGCACCTACCTTACAGGATTGTTGTGCACCTACAGTGGAGCATGCTAGGTTACGTTTCTTGGAGAAAAAGAAGAAAACTGGTATATGTCTGGGGAAGAATAACACTGATGGTCCAAGGTCATGCTGGGGGTGAGGAATTGTAATTCACATCTGGAGGGTCCAAGGCCAGGAAAGTCTAGACCAGTGTTGTTCAAACTTGGCAACGTTAAGACGTGCGGACTTCAACTCCCACAATTCCCCAGCCAGCAGCAGCAGGCTGGCTGGGGAATTGTGGGAGTTGAAGTCCGCACGTCTTAACGTTGCCAAGTTTGAACAACACTGGTCTAGAAGAATCGGTTGTGGGCTTGATGGAGTAACAGCTGGGTCTGATATTTAGCAATTTCTGACGTTCTGGGTTTCTTTGAGAAGCGTCCTTAAGCCCACATTCATTCTGGAATTGGTTTCGTGACAATGGCCTTCATCCATTCGGTCTTCTAAAGCACGTTACTGTGATCGTCCGCTGTCAATCTCCCCGGAGGTAACCCCTGCTTGTCGGCTCAGTATAAAAAATGCACCATTAAAGGAAAAAGAATTGGGAGGCAAACTCACCCCTAACTTCTTAGTTATAAAGTTTTATGTGAGATCCACCAGCCAAAACACAACTAGCGGGCTGTCAAAGGACTTTGTTCTTTAGCCATGTGAATCAATGAACCAAAGCTCACGTCAACATAAAGCCAGACTTTTTTTAATCCACCTTTTCCCTCTGCACCCTTTTGGTCACACCTGTACTTTGCCTACTTGTCCTTTCTGGACATGATCCAAATCTTCTACAGCATAGAAAAGTCTTCTTGTTTATTCTGGATATTGCCCTGCGTGTTTGACTGAAAGATCAATATTTATTGAGGCTATATTAGGTATGTATTTGGGTTAACTTCCCTTGGGTTTTCATGGAGGCTGCTATTTTAAGACAAGTCATTCGTGACCCTGGAAAGTTGGGCTGCTGTTTTCATCTCCAAGAGGACATTTTTGTAATCCTTTCCAAGGTCCTCTCTGAACACCTCAGCAAGGATAGTTAATCATTTATATTATAAATAATATAATATTTAT